ACTTTATATGGCGGTGAAAAACACAATAGCTCCAATAAATTGAATGTTTTCAAATAAGATTCCTGAGAACAATTGGAGGTTACAGAGGAACGAATAAAATGAGAAACATAGATATTAGAAATCAACAAATTACTCAACGTAGAAGAGAATGTAAAAGAATACCAAATACAAAGAACATATTTTGAGAATAACAATTTATCGAATGCCACTGAGGCCGTGTGACTACCACCCTCATGGAAGAAGGGAGTCAGGTAGTCCACCGAACAGATGGCAGGATCAATTCGACTATCCCGGAGATCGGAACAGGACAAGAGGCCTTATACTTGTAGCAGATCTTGGTAATGCCTGTAGGCCTGTGCAAAATAAGATCAGCTGGCTCTGATAATTTCGACATTTTCCATTATCTGAGATATATACCATAGCCACGACGTTTCGGTGGTTGGCTATATTTTTATCTTCAAATGATTTGTTGTCACTGTACTTGTATAATGGATTAGTTACCTAAAGAGCTGACCCTTTATTACCCTTCTAGTTCTATAAATACAGGGCTAATGTACCTTCTGCATGTGCGGTATTTAAAATTCTCGACCGTTTATGGAAGTCGAAGTCGATTATCGTGTTCACAAGGGCCCGCGACTGGAACCAATCCTGAGTCCGTTGAGTAAACAAAAGTCCTTTAAATTGGAACTTAATAATATCCTTATACGCCTCGGTCTTCTAAATTATCTCCCCTCAGAGTTTCCTACCAACATTTTGATTATTATTTCTTTTCTGTTCCATGTTCCTTATGCATCCCGCATATATCATTGTCTTTGATTTGATGACCCTGATAATCTTTGATGAAAAGTAAAATTTTGAAACTCTTTATTACGCGATGCTTCTTCAGCTTTATGTTACATTCTTCTCAGAAAGATATTCTCAAACATTCTGCGTCTAAAAGACTTGAGGCTTTTACGGCAACAAAATTCGATAAAATCACCTCGGTTGATGAGCCACGTCAATTTGTAGAAGTACAACGTTTCGGAGACCTCTGTATCCACCATCAGGGTTCAGAGAAGATCCCTAACATGGACTTCTTTACGTAATTCACCCCACTGATCACCAGAGAGATATCATCACATTCTTAACCATCGGAATGAGGGGCCACGTTTTACGCCCGTACAAAAAATCCTTAATTTCAAGTTTTTCTTACAGTTTGGCTGAATGTTAGTTGATCCCTATTTTTCAAAAATGTTGGTGTTCAGAAATGTTTTCCTAATATTTAGATATCCTATTTTAATGGGGGCACATGAACCAAATTAAAATCTTGGATATTATATGAACTGTGCAGTACCCACAGGCGTACTTTTAGTGGGGCTGTCAGTTTTAAACAAAAAAGGCTATTTACTGTAGAATAAATGTTAATTTGTAATGTGTTTACGAAAGTCTTTAAAACACAGTGATCCCTCTATTTACCTATTTTCACAACCTACACGTTTTGCCCTAGGCATTGTTATGGGTTTTATATGATTGTCAGAATAAACAGCGATTATTTTCTTAAAAAAATATTAACCATCTGGTCCTTGAGGTAAGTACTCCATTTTTAAATACCATTTAGATAAAGTTGGACCTTCAAAGAATTAATGCTTTTCGTCATTACGAAATTACAAAATATTTAATCTCGGTTTTGATTATCTCTTACCGTCAAAAACAAACCCGGATGTTCTACATTTTGGCACGCCCCAAAATGTAATTACTGAATTTTATCCAAGCTCTGTGTGACCATGCCGCATTGTCGGCTTTATAATTCGATACGTGATAACGTAGATCTGCAAACAGAATTTTCATACCAGTCTATCGTGGTACTTTTCCAACTATTATTGTGTGTGTGTGTGTGAGAGTGTGAGAGATAGTGAGTGTTAACAATATTATTAAATGTCCAGTTTCGTTCTCTATTAGTGAGAACGTATGTTTCAGCTTTTATATCAACTAGCAGGCCTGTTATAATATTACAAACCAAAACATACGTAAGTAGTTCTCTAGGAGTGTAAGTTTAAAATGTTTGTATACCTGAACTTAACTGTGGCCGCGCATTAGTTATAGTACTATTCTGTTATGAAATAAACACTATTATATTATCATATTATTGTATACTAATCGAAGGAACTTAATTGATAAAATAGGAGGAAATTTGAAAAGTTGTTTTTAAATTATATCTGGAATCGTAGCATAGTGATTAGTATGCAAATAATATTTGAGAATAAAGCAGTATTGTAATTCTTAGCTTATAGACTCCTCTTGCTAATATATGGATTCTGTTAGGTGATTGCACTGTATAAGTGCAAGGCGTAATTCGAAGAGTTTCACAAAGCTCCCGCCGATATTTATCGTATAAATCCACTTTCCAGTGATATCTGTTCCCATTGTTATGTTATAATCCTTTCATACTTTCGTAAGAACTCGATTTTAGTTTTATATGACTTTTGTTAATTTTCGGCGGAATTGTATGTAATAATTGATTATTCGTCCCACGTTGTCCATTCGCAAGTCACAGGTTGATGTTAGAATATAAAAGTAATCCACATCTAATATACCATTGTGAATCCATAAAATCAATGGAAAATATTAAGCTAAACTATAATAATTCAGAAAATATGTTGGCTGCAGTTTTACATAGAAATCTATTGATTAAAATTTACAAATTTTACGAATTGCAGTAGATATATGCCACCTGTGAAAACCTGGTACAAAACGTCAGTGATTGGAATGTAAATTTGCTCCAAAAATTTCCATGTAACAAATGATGTTAACTGTATTTAAGATTTCAATGAAACGATATGGTTCTATCGTAGACAAAACAAAATCTTTGTCCACGTCTCGTTTAAAAATTGTTTCAGATTGAGGATAAAAGATGCTTTTGTGTAAACCCTATAAATTTACTATTACCATCTGTTGAACAGGCCTATTGCTACACTATATTCCACATTCTGCACACATCAGCTATATCTTCCCAGTATACAGCGCACACGCGTTAGCTTTCACCTCAGTTGTGCCCGCATATCCTCATCACCACCAAAGGAAGCACAAAATATAAATCAAACATTTATCACCGCGAACTTTTGAAAGCTTGTGGTTGAATTATTATTAGGCCTATTTCCCTAGGGTAGGTTAAGAGACCGTCCCGACACGTAGCCAGGTAAGTCTGGTGGTGGGCTGTTACTAACCTGTCGACATACTTTCAGAATTTCGTGATCTGAATGTTCCATCCTTAGAAGATACCTTCCTTGTAGCTAGTGTGTTTCTTTGCCAAGGGGGAATTTCTCGTTCTCAATCTCCGCAGACCAGATGGCGTGCTAAGTTCCTCTCAACACGGTTGCCTAGATCATTAAGAGATAGTTTTTACAATATACCAAGATGAAACCCCTGGGAAGGGTTAGTCTGTTAAGCGTATGTAAATATTAGGACTTCACAATAAAATTGCTTCCAGTGGAGTTGCTTTGAAATGTTTCTAGCAATTTTTGTAATTATTTGTGGAATATTTCCTAGATATTTGGTACGTTTCGTATAATTTGTACTGCTTGAATTCCTCAAATGAATCCTGACTTATTATGCTAGTTTTTGTTTTAAGTTTGTGCAGAGATGTTTATGCCTGTGTCTCTGGGATGAAGCTGGTTCTGAAAACGTCCGCGTGCCGTTTTTCCTATCTTGTTTGAGTGTGTAGATTGTTTTGACGTAAATACGTCTATAAGTAAGGGTCATTCGGCAAAAAAGTGTAACGAAAAAGGGAAACTTAAAAGTGTAACAAGTGTACCTAGGGAACGTCGTGTTTACTCGGCATTGTTGTTACCTAGGAAACGTTACATTACATTACAAAAAAATACATTACTTTACATTACATTCATCTACCACAGACACATCTTAATCATAAGTAATTCAAGTTGGGCGAGGCCGTGGTCTAGGCAACACGGAGTTTTTCTCCGTGGCATCCCAACAATTACTTCATTCACACACAGAAGAAGGCAATGGCAAACCCCTTCTGGATCATCTGCCAAGAACGTATATGAACAGGTCCCAGTCCGAGAAAAGGATGGAAGGATCCTGTTCATATGGACCTGTCGTCAGACAGAACACTAAATAAAAATAACCTCAGACCCATCTGAAGCGTAACTAATTCAAGTTGAATAAGCAATGTCTTAATCAAACTTATCTCAATTGTAAAGCATGTATGAAGGAAATATTTAGAATAAAGCAAATATATAAACTTCCTTTCCGTATAGACGTATTTACGTCAAATTCTCCGGAACCGTGGTTCCACTGACAACTTTTTGTCTGCATACATAGTGACTAAGTTGAATGACGCCTTCAATTTGTGTCTGAAGTAATCTCGAGGATTTCAGAATTAACATTAATAGTAATAAGTTAGAAAACATCGTTACAAAGCGTAAAATTCTCAGTATTTTCGTGCAAACATTTTTAGCTCTTTGTTTAAATACTAGTGCTGTCCTCTGACGAACAGGTGCCTCTGTTACAAAATTTAATCTGAAATATTCCAAGGGATTTTTTTAGTTATGACATGCTATAATATCCCTTAATTATTCCGAAACACATATGGCTAAAAAATATTTGATTTTTCTGTATACATTTTAGTCTGAAACATTTCTTCTTCTGCAAATATTTACCGCGTTACACTGACATTAATACAGAAACGCTTGTAGATGTTCATGTAGTAAGAGTTAGTTAGTCTAGGCCTATTTTAATCAAAGTTGGAACGTGTCGACATACGGTAACAGAAGTTCTCTCTGTTATATTTAATGAAAGCCCGTTCAGCGGTTCTCGAATTGCTACATTCGGACAGTAGAAAGACGTAAAAAATAGATATCACATTTCTTTAAAAAATAATGATCTACCAGTGCATTAATTCAAGCGCCTTTAATCGGTTTCAGCGCACACAATATCAGCAATTAAATAGTAATGATAATTAACAATAACAATAATGACAGCTGTTTATCTTTTTGTTCCAGAGAAATGGCTGGTAACAGGAGTCTACAGTCAAGGTAAGACTATCTTACATGTTCCATATTGAAAGTCATGGCGTTTCTACACGTAGACCACAGCAGAAATAACTATCACTGTTTTGGTAAATGTTTTAGTTTTAAAACTGTTGGAATATATAATTGTTTCATTGATCGTTGCTTATCGTTTTTTACGCTGGGTCTTTATAATTTTCAAAGTTTTACTGACGATACGTTAGTCTTCCGAGAACGCGAACCATTTTGCGGAGAGATGAGAAATGGCATGCTACACACCTATTAATATAACAGATCGGTGTTTTCATAACAGTCCTTAGCTATACGCACTACACGCAGTGAAGTATTTTAAATTACCGTTTATGTATGCCCTTCCGTATTCTTGCCTGTGTGATATGGTGAGTTTGAGCTAACGGGTAAGGGACTTCATAAGGTTTGCCGGACTACATCACGGTAGAGGACCTCTTAATCCCACGGGTCGTTCTCTCAGCAGATAGCCGAAGTAAATGGGAGTAACTGCAGTGAATTTTAGAAACGTACGTAGGTAAGAGAGTGGATCTTGGGAAGACGTGATATAGGATGACCATGTATCACGGTTAACTAGACATTGTTCAGTTATTACGACTTATATTTTCCTTGCAACTGGATATGTAATTAATTTATTGAAAAATTGCTCACATATATGTGAGAAACAATTCTTATCTGTGGTGTCCCTAACGAATGACCAGTTAACCTTTAAAGGCCCAAGTTTTCTCAAAATACTTTTTGTTTGTTTATGTTTGAAAGCCAAGTGTATGGGTCAGGAGTAAGTATAGTTCGCGACTATAATCTTGAGACTCAAACCATCAAGTCTCAAGATTACAGTCGCGTACTGTATATCTGTTACATTCCTTTACAGTCAATAATTCTAATCTATGAACACTTGTGAGTTACGATTATATTCTTAAACAACATTCACCAGTTGATGTTTGTAATGGAGGTGTGTTGTGTTTTCCTTGTTGGAACTGAGTGTTTAAGTATTATTTATATTAGTTTAGGCTTCAAAGTATTAATTTTAGTACAACTATTACACTTTCGAGCCGGATATTTAAACTGCTCATATTAAATCAGGACTATAAGCAAAAGTAAATCTCTCACCGTATTTCATTGACAAGTGAGGGTATACGGAAAACAGAGGTGATAAAAATGACGCAACCCATTTCAAACACGTTCTATTTGTCATAAATACATTACATTAAGACAGAAACTCAATAAAGACGATGTTATATAAGTTTTTGGAAATGTCCACCCCGTTAATATCTGATGCAAGCCAGTGAACACTTCGTTTGTCTCACACACACGGTCCATCAGACGAGATGTTACTTTTTTGCGCAGATAAATCGGGAAATGTATTAATTAACTCATACTGGCAATTTAAGTAAGGACGAGATGCCAGGTAGTGTTTTACAATGAACACTCGTTGCACTTTCGAAAAGTAAGACATCCTTGCACTTATAACGTTTGAAGCCAACTAGCGCGAGAAGGTTACAACATGATGTGTTTCTTCTATATTCTCTGCGATATTGTGTCTTTATTACTCGAAAGTAATGTATGTAATTTCAATAAACAGTATTTATTTTGATATTGGTTGCGTGACTTTTCGGCAACTCTTTACTTGTTATAGCCTCAAAGACTTTACAATAGTAAATTATTCTCAGATTAGTGGCAACTGTTACAGGGCCTGGAACGCTTTGAAGACAAAAGTATAACAAATTCCGGAAAGGTCTTGTTACGTGTGTGTGGTTTGTAAGGTAATAGAAATTGTGAGTGTACAAAATCCCCTTCGGGGGCATACTACCACA